GCTTTATTTAATTCACTTTATTATTAAAAAACTTTAAGTACTATAAAAAGAAAAGCACAGAATATGTTAATAGCACTTTTTAATTACAGAATACCCCTAAAATTTTGCGAGTGTAGCAACAGGAATCAGGAGCCCGGAATTTTCAGGATGATTCCAAAATATTTCATATCTGTTTGATTTGTCCAATTGTCCATTGTTATTGGCAGTCATCATCCGTTGCAATTCAATCATTATGAAATGAAGTAAGCATAATGAAATGCAATATAAATGCATTAAATGCATCTGCTGTCGGGCCAAATCAATTTCGTTCCAGAAATTTCACCATCGCGAAATTATTGAAATTATTGATGCCCATTTGTATGTATGTTGAAGGGAATGTGAGCCTCGGGTTTTTGTTGCGGCTCGCTGTTTGGGGAATTGTGGCCATTTTTCGCAATTAAAAGCTTTACACATTTCGCAATCAATATATGAAATAATTAAATAAAATGTCGCTTAATTAAATTGGCACGACCTTTTTCGTTGCGGCTTTTGCGGAGGAATGATGATGATGATTCAAGTGATAAGCAGAAAAACAGAAGCCAGGGCAGCTGAAGCCTGAGGAATGCGTTTAATTTGTGAGATGAGTTAAGTTAAAAATACTCTACATTAATGGGGCTAAATAAATTAGGGTGTAACTTGGCACGGTGAAAACTGAGGTGTTCTTCCAAAGAAATAGATCAATTAAAATGCATATATTATTATAGATGTAAATACTATGAATATATAATATATTTAAATTTATGTATGCATTTTTTAGTTATTTTTGATCTTTTTTTTTTTTGGGTTACTAATTGATTTTCCTGTGTCAAATGTATGTATATATAACATTCAAAACAATATGAAATCTAAATTTGTTCAAATATATTTCGCAGCTTACAATAAAGTTTATATTACTATTTAAAGTTTCGAGAACTATCTAATATTCTTTATGTTTTTGTTACAACAGTTTTGTTTTCTTGTGTTGGGATACCTGTAGCTTGATAAATATGTTATGATCAGTTTTGGAAAGCTTACTTATTATTATCTGCTTAATTCCATTTTTAAATCAGTTGACAATGGATTAAATGGTTTGCTAATAATTATTAAAGTATATACCCCCGTGAAAAGAGTATTTCTCTGTTTAATAGTTCCTCAATTCATATATCCGCCGTTTATTTGCGCATCTGAGTTCCAATTCTCGCGCATCACAGAAATGTGACAGCTAGTTAGTGTCGAAAAGAGCAGCGTCTGCCCCTCGCAGTTGGCCAATTAAAGTCAATTGAAGTTTTCTTTTTGTTTCTGTGGGCCGCTTTTTGCTGCTCGCTCGCTTCTGTTTATTTGTTTACTCTTTAACGCCTGCGCGCGTGCCTCAATTTAGTGGGCCGAAGTCGGAACATTTTCAATGCACTTTACCAGGCGATAGGCAAATGAGTCTGCGCATTAGAGAGAGGGGGCATAATAAAGGCGGGGGGTTTTCTCGCCGTGTAGCCGCTGTGTGCCGCCTGTCAGCATATCAACGCAATTTGTGCACTCGCCAATAGACGAGTCCGAGAAGCCAAGACGGCGGCAAATTATGGCCAACGATGCTCGGCGACTGCGCAAAGTGCCTCATAAATTCACGTCGCTGATCAAGTGATAGTGTGCGGAGTGCGAGGAATACGCGGAGTTTGGCCAAAAAGCGGCCAAGGAGTCGACTGGCAGCCTCAGATTCAGATCCAGCTATAGCCGCAACTATATAGTGTACAGTGTCCGCCGCAGATTGTTTATTGCAGAGCTACAACTTGGCCGCATAAAGTCACTGCAAAAAGATCCAACACAACAACATTGTTGCCCAATGGCCCAACTAATGTGCCGCAGATAGGAAATAAAGGGGAAGCCATTAGAAAGTGCACAAACAAATTGGCTGCAATCGCGAATTACATAACACCTCTTTTACTAGCAACAAGTGCGTGTAATATAGAAGGAAATACTTACAAACGGATGCTAATACGTTTAATTAAATCTAGACCAAAGCTTTTCATTTTTTAGTCTTTAAAATAACATCGAAAAAAAGATAAATTTTTTAAAAGTTGTTTAAAATGCTTCTAGAACTCTATTTGATACTAAAAATAACTTGACAAATCAAAGAAATTTTAAATTACAAAAATGTAAATATAATAAGTCAAAAGTCTTAGATATTTTGTATAAATTTTAATACTGCAACAATGCTCTAGTTTTGTGAAGTCAAACCTTAATTTTCAAAGCATATATACCTATGACTATAGATAGATTTTTATTTGCTTACTGATTATTTGTTGCACTTCTTTAAACAAGTCTTCTTAAAAAAAACATTAAATATTAATATCACTTTGGAAGGCAAAAAAAGGATTTTAAATATAATTGTCATTTATTATAATTAATTAATTATAATTAATTTGATAACAGAAATAATTATAAGTGCGATAAATCTAACGAAAACCTTTTTAAATATATTTTGCAATTTAATTTCCTTCTTGATCAAAGCACAGGTTATTCATGGCGTCACTTCCTCATCCAGTTGATTGATTTATCCCAGCCATTGACACAGTTTCTCCGCTAATCTCAGCTGGCTTACAACACTTTCTGGCCCTGGTCCATTGTCAGCCGTCCTGGCTATTAACCGACCTTCAATAAAGGCCAAGGACAATGGCAGGACGAGGGCGCGTAATTGAAAGTACGCGACCAAGTTGTAAAGCAGATGTAAGGACATCAAGTGTCTGCCGCTCGAAGCCGATAGAAAAAAATTAAGTTGAATGAAAAAAAAAAGAAAACTGAAGAAGAATTTACCATAATAAAAATAGCTAACGCCCAGACCGAGATTCAAGATTCAGTGAGATGCCATAAGCACAAAGGCAAACTGTAGATAAAAATTCAATAAGCCGGGCCAAGAGCCCAGGAGCAGGACACGAACGGAGACCGAGACCGTTAAGACCGAAGAAGGGGCCGGGTCTGCGGTTGGGATTTTGTGGCCAATAAATAAAATTAATACGAACGCACTTGAGCACAACTTGACCAGGGAGCAGGTCCCCGACGGAAGGACTTGCTTTTTTCTGAGGTTTTTCTTCCCCCCATCCTCTGGCCATCATTTTTTCTGCATTCTCTTCTGTGTGTTTTGTTTGTTGACTTGTTGAATGAGCCGAAGACCAAGGGCCAGGAACAGGCCAACTGTTGACTGGCACTTGCAGCCTTATGGCCAAGCCGATATTGTGGGTAAATAGAGATGAGGCGAAGAGCTTAAAGTTGGGTCGCGAATATTGCTAAAGTTGGTAAGGTAAATTCATGTAACTTGAGAGCTCTAGAGGTAATTTCTTAAAGTCTTTTACTGAAAACAGAAGAGACATTTACTAAATCTAAGTATATTACTAACACTAAAAATTTAACATTTACTGAGGTAGATAAAGAAAATTCTAAACTTAACTTTAAAACTGATTGTCTTATCCGCAAAACTTCAAAAAATGTTTAGAAAAATAAATTATACATTCTGAAAACTAATTTTTACAAATTAATTACCGAAAAATTCAATGCCTACATTTGTTAATAAATAAGTGTGCTACATTTTGTATTATATTTTTATTTCCAAGAAAATGATTATTATAAAACCAAAATTCCTATATCTCCAATCTTAGGCTTATAAAAGGAAAAGTCTTATTTATAATGCATGAAAAATACTTCCCTATCTTAGTCAATTATTTTAACAGAGTTAACTTTCACCTCGTTTGGGAATATTGACTGCCAATTACATCCCATAATTCCCGGATCCTGAAATTCTCAAGGCGTTCCCACAATGCATTCATAAATTAGTCAACTCCGGGGTGCAACTGCATGCAATTCGAATGCTGACACGTTGATGACCCCGCAATTGAACTGCCATAAGAAATCACTCTGCGAGGGAGGGCATCATTTGAGAGGGGGGAGGGGTTGCTGGGTGGTTGGGGGTTAGCAATGCACCGCCCACTTTCAACACTTGCCACAACAATGGTGCGCAAATATTTACCAGCCAGCCGCAGCAAAAGGCAAAGGCATCGGATCAGCGGCTTAAGTCTCAGCCTCAATTTGAAATCCAATAAAATTTAATTGGAAACTTCATCACGGGTGCGAAAATTCACACTCCAAGCCAAGGCAGGCACGACTTGGCTGCCGTTTGCCGTAAATCTATTGGCCAAGGCTTTTCCAGTTCCCAGTTTTCTGTTTTCAGTTTTCAGTTCCTAACCCCACAGAAAACCCCCCTACCCCCCTGCCCCCCCTCGACATCCACAATCCACACGTTTCGTTTTGCACCTGGCGGCGTTTCTCTTGGGGAAGCATCGCGATAAGGAAATATTTTTCATACGGTCGGTGGGGTGTTCATTCCGTTCCAATCCGTTATTGGCCATGGCAATATATGGCTTATTTATGATTTTCCTCTTGCCATGCCATATCTCTCTGGTCCATTGTCGACATTAATCGCTTTGCTTCGCTGAAAAGTATAACATGAAATTGGGATTGATTTATGTTATAATTACAAAAGCCAGACGCATATTAGGGGGACCCAAAAGAGAGAAAAAAGTGGGGCTGTCGATAGATACAGATCTACACTTTGCATGAAATTTAGCAATTGACTATGGATTTAAGAAATAAACCAATTAATCCGCATACAAATATTTGTAAATAATAAACAATGCAAATAGAATGCCATGCGTTTAAAAAATAATTGGATAGTTTTTATTCTGACTGTCAAGTCACCAAAATGTAAAAAATTGGGGATTCAAAAAACTTCATGAAATATCGCCTATAAATTAATCTTTTAAGTGTATTCCAAGGTTTATTTAAAATTAAAAAATCGTTGGTATGCTTATTTATCGTAACAAAATTGTTTAATTTATATATTTTTGGAATGTCGTCAAAGATTTTGCAAAATTTTTCTAATTTTTAACCGCTTTACAAATGAACTCCAGATAACCAAAATAAACACAAATTCCCCACAATAATGAATGATTCATTTTTATATTTCCTTCTATAGCTGCTTAACGACTGTAGAATTTTGGGGGCTCATGGTCGAATCGACTGAAATCAATCCAACCAGAGAGGAATCCGAAATGGGTCATGTAGTGTGTGTTAAATAAAAGTCTTCAGTGAAATGTCCGCATTGCTTTCTATTTCTATGTGTTGCCAGAATGCCAGAATATAGAAGGTGTATTATTTTGGGGATTATGTGGAGGTCTCCTCGATGAACTCCCACCAATCCTTTTCGTTGCCCTCTCTCACGTGGCAAAGAAGTACATGTCGTCGCTTTTGGCAGTAGTGTGATAGGTCGAGGACCTTCTGTTTGATTTCGTAGAGATTTGCCACAGTGATCTCTCGCTCCAAACACTCTGATATCTTCTCGGTGGCCATTTCCATGTCCCTTTGATTATGCTCGAATATGATCTTCTGATTGTTGTTCATCAGGTAAAAAGCGAAAACGTAGCTGTACATCAGAGTGGATCGGCATTGGCATAGAACATCGACGGCATTCCGCAGAAACTGCACCTCAATCCAGCTCATCTCCTCCTGCATGTCATCCATTTTGGCCTGTACACTGGCATACAATTTGTGCTCCATTCGCATGCTCTGCATGTGGTTCATATATCGGTTGTAGTAGTGCAGATATCTAGCCATCGAGGAGCGATATCTCTGCTGGGCCAATCTCGCCTGTTTGGCCTCCTCCTCGTCGAATCGATTGCAACTGTACCAGGACGAACCGTGTGGCTCCCAAGGACCCAAACAAACCCAGCAGAAGTCATATCTGCAGGATGGGTTCTTGCACACCATGTGATTGCATCCGCCATCCTTTTCAATCGTCACATTGCAACGGGGACACTCTTTCGTGTTCTGGGCAATCCAATTGGAGGTCTCCGAATCCTCGAGACATTTCTTCAGCCACTTCTTAAGCCAACTACAGCTGGCCGGTTCATGCCAATTTTCGCCACATGCAAAGCAAAATTGATGGCCACATTTGCAGTGAACAGCTCGAGCCTCCGCGCAATTGGCCTTAATGGCATGAGTGCAATTGGGAGCCGGGCACCATCTCATTAGCATATTGCACTCCACAAAGGTGTTGGTTATGAGCTGTTGATATCTCTCTATAACCTCCGGATCATCGGAGAGCTTCAGAAAGGACACATAGTCCACGAGGATATCGCAATTGGAAGCGGGACACGTTATCGTATGGGCCAATCCCTCGCTACACGTTTTATTGGCCAAATATTGTTTCCAGCAGGCGGCGCAAAAACTGTGACCACAGCCCAAACCCTTCAACTCATCGCAAGGAGCAAAGCAAATGCCACAGAATTCCTGCGAGGAGCGGGATGGCCGCACTGTTTGCGATGTGCTATCCCTCAAATCCAGTTCACTTCGCTGCTCGAAAGGATTCACCACATGGGCACGCTGGAAAAAATCCTTTGAACTGCTCTCGAAATAGTTCTCAAACAAACGCTCTTTGTCCCATTTAAAGTGATTGAGGATTATCCTCGTGACCTGCGGTGATAAATTCAAGACATTGTTCACCTCATCGATGATGTTGCGCTGGTGCTGAACGATCTGATCGACCGAAAGGACCTTGTAGACAAAGTCATCCGCCTCGGGATTTCCATTGGGACTTTCCGGCAATGCGATTTCCGTGCAGGTATCCTCGTCGCTGTCACAGGTCCCGCAACTCATAAATGACGAGGGATTGTGACTGTGAAGCGAGCGATGTGAGTCACCGTGATCCTCATCGGAGTATTCCGAATCGGAATTCATATCACCAGCATGTGGGTTATATCGGATCAGTATTATTTCATCGACTCTTAGCTCTCGGATCACTACTTACCAACAACCCTCGAACATTTGATGGTTTTTTTTTCTCTTTTTTTTTTTTTTTGGCTGATGGGATAATGGAAGCTCCTAGCAACGGCAACAACAATGACAGCTACAACTTTTATCAGAGCACGTATCGATTGGAATATTAAACACGTTCGAAGTGATGAAATGTTGTGTTTTATTTGTATTTCTACTGAAGACTGAACCTACTCAGTTGACAGTTGACTAGTTTTGCTTTTCCCAACGGCAATGACATTGTTTGCAAGGCTAAATTCTTTTTAATCATTTGATATTTATTTAAATAATGTTTATTGATATATAATTTTAAAAAAATGTTAAAATATTAATAATAAAACTTTGAAGGATTACGGTCCCTGCTAAAACCCTTTAAAGACAGTTTTAAATAAAACGCGATTTAAAAAAATGTGCTGTGCGTGCTACATCATATTAAACCAGCATTTAAAACCCATATATATTGTTTTATTCATATTTTGGTTCTGCCTACAACCATTTTAGTTGCTATGCGGTATTTTGAATCATGAATTTTTAGTTGTGAGTTGAGAGACCATCCAAATGCATTTGGCCTGCGCTTTCAACGCGTTCTCACATGCACACTAAAAGCTTTTCGGGATATATATTTTTTCATAACCCCTTCGTGGCATAAAACAGAACAAAGCAATGTCTCAAGTGGCAAGGGTAAGGCACGTAAATAAAAAGAGAAATAAAATCCAGGAAAAAAAAAACACATACATGCGATATGTGAAATGAAAGTGAACGAGTGCACAAGGATAATGGCGACCAGAAAGGGAAGAAAAAGCGAAAAAGCGAAAAAGAGAAAGAGGACGATATATGGAGTGAGGGTAATGAGTGTGCATAATGCAGATGCAGATGCAGGATCCCGGTCCAGGATCCCAGGACCAGCCCAATCCAGCCCATCTCCAGCACTCATTGAACAAACGGGCTCAATCTGCCATGCCGAGATGCACTTGGGGTACAGGTACACTCGGAGAAAAGTGGCACCTACAATTTAATTGAAAAAAAAGTTACAAAAATATAAGCCTTAAAAAGTTTAAAAAAATATACAAAAAAATCTACTATATTTCTTAAAATAGAGAAATAGAGTATTTAAAATATCTATCTAAATTAGAAAAAAAGACTTTATATAAACCAAATTGAAAAAGGTACACAGCATTATAGATATATAATATAATTTAATTTAATTTTAAGCTAAATTTTTTTTTTTAGTGTTTCCGATTTTATATACGTGTGCATATGCATTTATAGAGGAGAAACACACACACGGTGGTCATGAAGCTGCCTCTGCACCGCCTTTATTTCTTTCCTTCCCTGTTTTTTTAGTACTTTTTATTTAAAACAAAAGCGGAACAACAACCCGCCAAAAACAGTAGCCCGTACTAGAATGAAAACGCAAAGCGAAAAGAGCTTGGCAAAAATCATTACAAAATAAAAATGCAAAGTCGCCAAAACAGCAAAGGCAGCCACAAAATCCCTTTCATCAGTTGACAGGGGCGGAGATCCACATTCTCGCCCCCTTTTTCTGTTTTTTTTTTCCTTCATCCAGCATCTTTTCAAGTCACAGTCAAATTACAAGAAATCCTTTCGTGCGCGTGAATGCTTTGGTGGAAAATGCGGAAAAGGAAATAATTTGACCATTTGCTGCAGCGCAAGCACATAAAAAAGGAGTGGGAGGAGGAGATGGGCGGCTTGGCAACGACTGGGCGTGGCCAGTGTCATATGGGGAAAATTTCAAGAATTTCTCCTAGCCCATGCAAATGCAATGGCAACAAAGATGCGTCACTTGTTGGCCACGACGCTTTATCATTGCCAATCGCGTCGAAAAAGGCCGAGAGAAATGGCCAGCTCCGATGATGGTCAACAGCGATGGCCCTGTGACGTGACCACGCCACGACCAAAAGACTGCCCGATGATGATGCCAAATAGCTGATAGGCCAAGCCAACAATCCCGGCCAGAACAACGCGCATTTCTCTGCGCCTACTTAAAGTTAAGCACTAAGAAAAATTATAGTTCATAGTTCAGTTATCACTAAAAACTATGATTATGGAAAATAAATTAAAAAAATTGTGTAAAATATTTAGGGCTACAAATTTAATTAGAGCTCTATTTATTTAAATTTGAGAAACCACATCGAACGATTTTAGTTATAGTTAAATGGTTTTTTAAAGAGCTTAAGTTAAATTTCTTAAAATCAAAAATAATTGGAATTGAAAACATTTAAAAAATAAGTCATAAGTATAAGAGATAAAATATTTTTGTATTCAAAATTGTTAAGCTGAGGTTTACTTTTATTCATACTATTAATAAATTAGAATAGACACTATAAATGTACTAGCTTGGACCTGCTAGAAACCTAAGGAAAAATCTATGAAGCTTACCAAAAAGTACAAAATAAATTCAAAATTATTTTAGCAAGAATAATATTATCCCCTGTGTATTTTATGTTCCTGCAACTATGTATTTGCAGAAAAATATTCCTGGGAAAAATTTCTCCAGCTCGCCCAACGGTTTCTGGCCAAAAGGATGTTCGCTTGGAAATTCATGTAAATTAGCCAGGTAATTACAAGCTTTATATCAGCGGCAAACGGATGTATGCTGATCGCGGCGATAAATGCGTTCGCCCGTTTCTCGCATTATAATTACTCTCTTGTCTGGTATTGTGTAGTCGATTTGAAAAGCAAAAATTAGCTGGAAACCAACGAGCATGAAGCGCCGAGCCGACACTGTGGAAGAAAATCAGCGCTCGGAACTAATTTGATTTTGATGCGACGGGGGCCCCCAGAGAAATGATATAGAAGAATGCGCGTATATGTATTTCTATACGTATTTCTGTATAAAGCCGGCCTCTCGACTCATAATCAAGTCGCGGCCAGGCATGAGTTATTACATTAACGGTTCGCATGGACAGCTGAATTTATGTTTTCTCTGCGCCATTGATTGACCTTGACTAGCGGTTTAACAGTAGCTGGATTCGTATATAATTAAAACGAAAATTAATTTCAAGTTTCGAGTGTGTCAGAGATTTATGTGAATTTCGTTTTGGTCTAGAGTCTAGACTTTAAATTCGTTTTAAATGCGATCCGGGTGATCATTCATCAAGTGGTTGGGAGAAAAATGGGTTAGCGGAACAGCTCATATATTATATAATTTTGTTGATGATGGATTAGTAAGGTTGGCCTAAGAGTACGAACAAACTACGTGACACGATCGCATCTCCAATTTAAAATTGGTTGAGCTTTTCTTCATTTTTTAATAATTTCCCTAACCCTTTATTTTTTGTGTGTCACTTGCCTTTAGAAATTGTCATGGCACAGCTCTTTCATCTCTTCGTCAAAGAAAAATCATTGCCAAAAATGTGCTTTGAAACGATTGTATATTCCACTGCAACCCCAGGGCATATCCTTATCAAAATCCCAACCCCACAATTTTTGGCAAATACTTCCAATCAAAAAGGGTCTGCGAAAAATGAGCAAAAAAATATCCCTGTGACAGGCGAACAAAAACTTGGGTGCGAAGAAAAGTGAAAGTGCTCCCCCTTAGACATTCAACCCCCAAAAAAAAAGAAAAGAAAAGTCGAAAAAGGAACAAACTTTTCCACCACATGTGTGGTCTCGTACGAGCAGCTATCTCTTTTCATCGTTTGGCGGCTTTTCGCCTTTGAAATTGAAGCATTTCCGCCATCTTTTCTTGGTGGTATGGTCGTCGTATAGGTTTTGGAAAAACGCTGCCAACGAAGAAAGTGCGTTAAGAGGGAAAACTACGCCACTTCAAAGTGGCAGCAGTTTAGTTAGTAAGTTGGTCCGCAAGAAGGCAAATCAGTGGGCTCAGACTTCAAAGCGGGTTTTGCATTTTGTCCGCCAATATTCTCGCGCTTTTGCGGCTTCTTTTCGTTGGAAAACCCCAACTCTTTAACCCCACACACCTCCGCACCTTTGTGACATGGAGAACATTGACTCTGGTTTTGAACAAACTTTTTCGAGGGCCCGGGAATATACATATGATTCAGAACAGCAGGACTCTGGCCAGTGAAAGTCCTGCTGCGGAATTTCGCGTGTTCAGTTGACATTTAGTGGACTTGACGGGTTCACACTCGTCTAAGTGAGGGGCGGTCCTGGTTTTTATGCCTTTCTAATGGGTACTCGGGGTGGATTGGCTGTAATTAAAGCCGATTACACAGGGTTCTATTAAAGGTATCAAACTGAATTTTAAAATAATTGAATCTTAATTTTTATTTGTTTTTTTTTTAACATTTTTATGAAAACAAAAATATTACTTTACTTTTTTTTAGACTATCGCTTTATTTGTGAAAGATTTTAAAAAGCTATCAAACTTTAGATTTTTAGAGCAATAAGTTTAAAAAAAATAATCCAGAAGAATATTTTTTTAAAAAATATATGTTTTTACAGAAAAATGAAAAGCATTCTTTATATTTTTGTGTTGAATTTTTGGTAAGCCAATGATTTCTTAAGTCACTGAATTTTATTATTTTAATTTATTTTCTGTGAAACAAAAATGGCTTTAATATATTTTTCTAACTCAACGCCTTTAACTTATTTATTTTGCTTACAATCACTAAAAAATTCTTATGGGCAGTATCATCTCTTGCATTCCTCATATGTTTAGATTATCTGGTTGGCCTTTAATTGTTTGTTTCGTATCTTTCGTACTTTCTTTGTTTATTCTCGGCATTTTTTTGTTGCCGTTTGAACCGCGACCGTCTGGCACGTCTTGGTGATATCTTGGTGTTTGTGTGACTGTGTTTTCTAATGCACGTCACGTGACAAAATTGTATAATTTCCAAAAACGGGCAGCGGGCCGCACGTCGCCCATTGCCATTGTGACATTTCCGGTTAATTTGGCGCCAGCTCAGCCGGGTTCCAGTCTCGTTCCCATTTCCTTTCCTTTTTAGATCCCCCTTTGGGCCCTCCATCGGGCCAAAGGGGACTGCCACATTT